GGTGTTGCCACCGCAGTAGAGGTCATCAGCGATTTTGGCGACACATCCATTTTGGAGGAGGTCACCGAGGACGCGGCACATCAGCTCTTCTAATGCTGTTTCCGAGCCAGGCATTCCCATGGCACATCTGGTATAAATGCGGACGCCTTTGAAGGGTGTAGCTACACCGCAGTACTTGAGGGAGCTTTTGGCAAGAGGTATCTGATAAAACGACTGAGACAGATCAGAAACGATTATATAGCGCCAGCAGGCAATCTTGCGGAGAGTGGAATCGACGTCGGGCATTAGCGAGGGTTGGGGTTTACTGTATCTGCCAACATCGGAGAAGGCGGTAACCAGGCGAAAGCCACCACTCTTTTTTTTGACGAGGAAGGAAGGGTTCAGGTATTCTGCAACAACGTTTAGGTCCTCGGGACGTTGAAATACCCCTGTTTGTTCAAGTTCGTCGAACTTAGTCTGCAATTGCTCTAGTTGACCGCGAGCATACTGGGGCATACGACCTTTTCGCTGGGGGGGGGGGGAGTTGAACTGAACCCATGTTGACGACACCTTCGATGGGACCGGCGGCGCCGTTGTACCCGGGTATAACAGGATCGAATACACGATCAAACTCCTTCAAGAGAGAGAGAGTGTCGCGCTTCTCGTCAGGTGAGAAAATGCCGTCAGGATCTACGGAAACTTGCTCTGAATGATATCCAGGAGTGTGGAGTAGTAGGGGTAGGGGTGGGGGTCCAAGGTCTGGTGAGCTGGGCACTTGCGTTTGTGGAGGGGAGCTGCTTGTAACGAGGCGAGCCTGGCATATGTGGTCGTTCTTTTTAATAAAGATCGGCTCGGTGGAACAATTGACAAGTCTAAGCTTTCTGCCGACAGACTCAAGAATACCGGGTTGGGGCCATGCATGGGAGGACTTAATTGATTGACACGAAGTAGAATCGACCCGGGGCTCAACAGCAAGTTGGGTATCGGGTGGAAAGTCAATAGGGATATCAACCTCAAGGAAACCACCAGGCCAAATAGTGGTGTTCGTAGGAGGTGCACGCAATACATGACAATATCTGACAACATGGTATTTGAAGGAACTATTGGGGGACCCATAGGGTACAATGTCAGAACCAGCGATGATAATTTCATGCTTTGCGGGTCGGACAGCAATGTCGTTGCAGGTCATGAAAGGTGTTCCGGCGAGGATATCAACATCAAGGTCTTCTACAACAAGAGCCTCGAGGGTAAGGGTCTTGCCATTACGGGACAATGACAGGCGGGTTTCGCCGACAATAGAGAGCGGAGTACGACCATCAGCTTGTAACGCAAGTTGTTAACTCTTGGATATTGGGCAACCGATGTAATGGGCAAGGGAGGCCTTTATCATGTTGATCTCTGCACCAGTGTCAATAGTAAGGCGAAGCGGGTGTTGATTGTAGAAGACGTGGAGATACGGAGATTGTGTAATATTTACACGGCAGGTAGCTGAGCGATGGTTGATGGGATGATCGCAGTCACAATTACTCTGAGAGGGTGGATAATTGTCATCGGGATGATTATCTTCATACTCTTGGGTATCTTCGATATCTGTAACATGGCGTGCTCGGGCCATAAACTGACGATCTGAGTCAGGCAGGTATTGGCAGGTACTTAAAAAGTGGGAGCGATAGTCGGGGCGACCAGCTTGGAGGCATAGTGCACAGGATTTATTTTAACGAGGCTTGTATGTCGTTTTGCTCTTTGAGGGGTATGGGCGGTTGGAGGCAGGTGGGCGGTTGTCGATGCGGGGTGGTCTTCCAAAGCTTGGGTGGATTGTGCGCAGAACTTTGGCTTCTTCGCTGGTGCGTAGTTCCTCTAACAAAGAGTCGAGGGCTTGAGATATCTCAGGCTTTATAGAGGCCAGTGTTCGGCAACGGAGCTCTGTACCGTACCTTTGCTTAACCAAACGTGGAAGGTCTGGGTGGAGGAGTTGGAGCCAGGTAACTACAATAAAGTTTTCGAGGGAGGGGGATAGCTCTTCATCAGCTTCTGGGGTTATTCCGTGATGAGTTATTCCGCCTGCTGCTGTTAATAAATTATCTTCAACAAAGGACATCAAGCATTGGTAAAGGTCTTCAGGCCTCTGGTCTAATTTGGCCTTGATATTAGCTAGGTCTAAGAAGCGGGAACCAGTAGATTGCATGGGGCCGTAATGTTGTCGAATGGCTTGCCATACACCGCTGATGGAGGTCGAATTTCGTACAATCGTATTACGAGAAATAACAGGAGCATAGTTAGCTATTTGGCCAAGCATCATTTCGAGATGAGTCACCTTTTGCGCAGCGGTACGGCGTTGAAGCTGGGGAATGTCCTCTCATCGTCGGTAAAACCACGGAGAGGAGAGGCATTGGTTTTCTTTAGCCAAGTAGCACCAGCGGTGAGGAACGATGCAAAATTATGGTCTAGGGATAGGATGTATTTTAAATTGTTCTCCCAAGCCTCTATGGAAGTTATTGTTTCAGTCGTTGTGAGAGACCATTGTTTTGGTGCTCGAACGGCCGCCATTTTGTTTGTCGAAAGCTTGACTGGTAAATCTATACGATGAGTTTTTCCTCTTATTTATGCTTTGATGTACACTTTTTCGTACGTTACGGGTTCTTTATAATCCGTGAAGCTGCCACCACGCCAATGTTTAAGAGGGCACTCGACAGCGAAACTAAAACGACGACTTTAAATGGTAGTCTTTAATACTATGTTATGAATAAAACAACAACAAGGCCAAGACAAGCCACAAGAGTATACTAACATGAAGTAAAGGTCGCCTAGGCGCGAACAAGATCGCAGGCGCATGTGATCTTTACTACAACAATAACAACTAAAAGCCACACTATGGCGCAGATACCAAAAAAGAGCACAACTAGGGGAGCACTATCAGGGGGATCCACGCTCCCCCAGAAAATATTTTGAAATCAGGTGTCCCAGATTGGCTAAAAATGCGTTTGCCATACAACATCTGTTACATTATTCTATAGTTTAATACATTTATTACACTATCACACTATTTTAATTTACATTACATGTTAATTTATATTACAGCGGTCTCGGGTCCACAAGACACACTGTTTCCCTCGGTCTCAGTAAATAAGTGATAATTGTAATAATTCAGATAAAAGGAGAAATTCAGGGGAAAATTCACACAGCATGACCTCAGAAATGCAATTATAAATGCAACCATCCGTAAAAGATGGTTGCATTTCTAATTGCATTTCTGAGGTCATGCTGTGTGAATTTTCCCCTGAATTTCTCCTTTTATCTGAATTATTACAATTTTTTTCTTTCTTGGGGAAATATTTTCTGGAAACTCAAAAATTGGGGAAATATTTTCTGGGAACTCAAAAAATTTTCTGGGACCAATGGTCCCGTGGTCCGTTACTTTTTCCACCCCTGCAAAACATTTCGTTTAAAGTGCTGTTGGACTTTTTTCATAAGGAACAACGAACATCCAGTAGAAATCTTCATTGTTCTGAATAAAAAATCATCATAAAAAATCGTTGAAAAAATCAGCAACACTGGCTTGTAATATGAAATTCAATATCAAACAGAAATTATATTAAGAAGGCATATGATATTTTTAAACACGATATCATGACATGCATGCATGTGTTTTGAATGGGCTATGAAATTAAACTGTAACATTGAGGGTGGGTTATGAAGAGGGGCCACGAGAAGAGGGTCACGAGAAGATGGGCCGCAAAAAATTTATCAAGTCTATATGATAATGACAGCTAGAGGACAAAATTCAGTAAATCAGATCAAAACTTACTGTACCGCCGGTCATTTCATAAAACCTCTGAATTATTTTCACCACAGTACTTTTTCCACAGCCACTTCCACCAACCAAGGCTGCAGTCTTTCCTTCAGGAACATGCAGACTAAAACCTCTCAACACCTGCGGCAGAAATAGAAAATGAAGTAGTTGAGAAACCTGAATCTGGCAATTGCATCAAATTTCATTCTTATAGAACTGTTACCGTAATTGTTGTCGTCGTCGCTGTCGATACCATTGCGAATGTTATTGTTGTTGCATGTTGTTGTTGTTATAAATGTTATTGTGAATGTTGCTGTTGCTGCATGTTACTGTTGCTGTTATTCTCATCGTTACGGTGTGTTAGTAATCAGTGTAATGAGTAATGAAGAAATGCGTAACCGCGTGTAATTATTGAATGGCAATTAAAGTTATGACTTCCCAACAGCACATTGTTTTCCCCTTTGTACTAAAGCTTTGAGCAAACGATAAAACTATATATGTCGTTTTGCAAGTCGTACATAAGAGGATATAAATACATATATTATTAAAAAATAAAGATAGCAAAATCGACAAAAACAAGTACAAAGGGCCATTCCATTTAATGTACACACAGTGCTGTAGAAGTGGGGGGTCGCTTGGGGGCGGAGCCCCCCTTCTTCAAGTTCTGGGGGGGGGGCTGAGCCCCCCTTCTACTTTAGAAAATCGAGAATTTATTAAGAACACTATTAAACAAAACTTGACTACTTTTTCATGAAGGAGAATCAAAATTACTAAAATGGCGTCTTTAATAAATCGATACTTTATCTTGTTTCAATGTTTCATATAATTATGCACTTATGCTCTGTATTTTCGAACATCTATGACGTCATCAGGGACCGCGGAGCAGGGGGACCTGGAGGGCTTTAGCCCCCCGCCCCCCCCCCTCCCTCCCCCCAGGATCTCTTTTGCAATCTCAACAAAAATATTAGTAATTTTGATTTTAAAAACTGAACTTCAGCAGGATTAGTCAGTTGGGACTATCATAGACTTTTTAAAATACGTTAAGTTATTCCTTGCACATAATTATGTAGATTAGTTCAGTCTTTATTAGTAGGATGGAGTCCAGGTGTTTGTTTCCATTTATTATTTTCTTGTTATGTATTGGTGGGCTCGCACTTTCCAGAAAAGCATTTCTAAGAAAGATAGGGACGATAAGTATGCAAAATGCAATTTAAATTACTCTTAAATACGGCATTAAATTTCGAAGAAAAAATCTATTCAAGGAAAATGTACTAAGCGAATAAATTTTACCCGTATATAATGGCTTGCTTAAGAGTCGTTCAAGAAACATTTTTAAGAGAAACTAGCAGGTTTTATTGCATTTCCGGGGCTCAGGGAGGTCTCATATTTCAAAATTTTCTGGACCCCCCCCCCAGAAGGCCATACCTTTGGCGTTCACTAACCACATTTTTTTACGATTTCACGTCTTCACGCTCGTCAAGAGAGCCCCCCCCCTGGTAAATTTAGTTCTACAGCACAGTACACACCCCCCTATGGACGAGAATTTCTAAAGAGGTTTGAAAAAGCCATTTCTGAGGGGTTGTGTGCATCGGCATCCTTTGATATTTGCGTTTTTTTCTGAGGGGTAAGGCAAAAATTTGTTAATTTCTGGGGGGGGTGTTTGTGTCGGCACTTTGATCTTTTTTTCTTTGGGGTTCAAATTTTATTGACCTCGTCCATAGGGGTGTGTGTACATTAAATGGAATGGCCCAAAGTCAGCTATAGACTTACTGGAAAGGTTTTGTACGGTGAAGGAACTTGTGAGTGTGGAAGAACATCTCCTCAACTTAGCGGTTTTATGCAAACGTCAGAAAGAAAGATGGATCATTATACAGCAAAAATGGTCTTACTAGTCTTCGCTTTGGTGTTTGCCAGATACCTTTTATCCGAGGAAAAGATAGACATTATGTCGGACAATGACTTTTGTTCCTCGAACGAGACTTTTTTGCTGGTACGACTAAGTTGAAACTCATGTTGTGAAAGCGTTCTACCCAGTCTCGTAATTCCAGGTAAATTATCGAGACACTTTTCTATACAATAAAACACTTATATTTACTGAGATCTCGGGAAAGCAGTTTATTTTGTGCCCCCTCGACCGTCGTTGTTGCCCGAGGCTTCGCCTCGGGCAACAACAGCGGTCTCGGGTCCACAAGACACACTGTTTCCCTCGGTCTCAGTAAATAAGTGATAATTGTAACCAATGGGCTGTCATTGTCACTTTTCCAGGTTCTGCATGTTGTCGACAAGTTAATCTCCTGATATAGTTGGAAATGTATTACCGGGACGCGTTAAAACCATTTCTCGGGTAATTGTGTTTGGTATATGTGATTTGTACATTAAAATGCATTTCAACTGTGAATGTAAAGTTATTTAATTTTCCAGCTAGAGGCAAATATTTGACTTCCACTACCCGCTACTACCACTAACCAGCCAGATTTATTACCCGATTTTGAGATGAAATCTGAACCTCCCTAATATAAAAACTCATTCGCATTTAAAACTGACGAAGATTTTTATAATGCCATAATATTGAACATTACGTTATTTAGAGAAATGAATCTGTATACCTTGAGATCAGGTCTTGTTGGATATCTAAATCTCACGTTATTAAAATCCACGTTTGCTTCAAACTTTTCTGGTTTAACGCCTTCGTCAGAAAGGGAATCGATATGTGGTTTCTAAAACAGTAAAGGTAGTTGAGTTGTATAATATCTATAAAAAATTTTAGGTAAGAATTTGGATCATTTACAGTCAGTGAAAGATTATATGCACGAATGAATTTGTGAAGATTATTAGATTATTGTGACGTTATAATTCTACTCCGTTTCACGTGCATGCATGTGCATGCCCGAGAAGCGGAACGTCTGCCGGTCAGGCCGAGAGTCCTCGGTGGTCAGATGGAGAGATCCCCTTGCATGTAGATTAGGGTTAAAGACACTAGCCAAGTAATATAGTGTGATTTTTTTAAATGGGACAAAAAATATACTGAGTCATCTCACCCGATCAATAATTTCAAAAAGATTATACGAAGCAGCACGAGAAGTAGTTATTGCTTGAAGATTTGGACCAATTTGACCAAGAATGATGGAACCCGTTACAACAGAAAAGAAAACCTATAAAGAAATATCAGCATATGAAGCTACATGTAGAACTAATAATAAAGCGTGTAATTTTATGTCGAGGCCGGGCCGCAGAGGGCTTTTTCAAAAAATTGTTGTAAGTAAAAAGATTTAGATTCAAAAATTTCAAACTCACAGTCATCATGTCACCACTTGTCATGTCTCTGTCAATAACAAGCTTTGAACCATACCTAGCAAGAAATGCATGATGTCAACTACGAAGCATTTATGGAAACGAAAAGTTATACTTCACAGTTAAAAAGTCAGAGACCAAAAATAAACAATTTGTCTCATCATGCGTTGGTATTTGTATAAAATATGAAGAAATCTTGGCATGTACCAAAACGCTAATGTATATGATCCAAAAACAACAAGTTGAAGAAAACCCATTCCACATCCCATTGCCAGTCCTTTCTTAACTCCAAAACGACTTGCTTCGGCAAGGAACTGGCCATATCTACAAGTAAGTAATAAAACATAAGCATGCTATACTTTAAGAAAACCTAAAACTCTTGGTTAATGATATTAACGAAGACAATACGTTCAAGGATCGATGTCGTACCTTTCTGTTTCCTTCTCTTCTCCACCAAAAGCAGCAACAGTTCTCATGGATGAGAGAACCTCTTCTGCCACGCTGCCTGCTTTTGCATAAGCATTCACTTCTTGAGAGGTGAAACCAGCTGCCAACTACGAGACAACATTTTAAAAGAAAACAAGATAAAGTCCTTAAGAAACCGGAGGTGTTCAAATGGTTTAATACGTGTGGCGCTTCCCTTTAATCATTTTCCCTGCCTGATTCTTAAGTATAGAATATGCAGCCTCCCCCCCCCCCCCCCCCCCCCTCCTAAACGACTGGGAGTGCTTCTAATTTTAACAACAACCATCGCAAACATATATGTACTGAATAGAAGTAATTTGGCGATTGAAAAACTATTTTGATAGTAATTTTTAAGGGAAATAAAATATTTTTGAAAATTAAAAAACTATTGCGGCCCC